ATCACACCCGGATAAAATCTGCTCTTGCCCTTGTACTGAGCCTCCACTTTGTCGCCCTTCTTGAATTCGTTTTGTTTAACATCGTCATCGGCGTCAACACCAACCTTCCTGGCAACTGGCCGTACCAGCTGGGCCGGTACACCCATCTCCTTTTCTCCATCATCGTAGTCAATGTCGTATGTCCCATTCAGCTGGCAGTGGGAGATCACACCGGTATGAATTGTGCTAGTGCCCTTGTACTGAACCTCAACTGGCTGATCGACTTTTAACACTGGCTCGTAAGTTTTAGGTTTGCTGTTCTCATGAGTAATATTTTTCGCCGCAGAGGCTAAACCACACCTTTGTTGCCGTATATACTTTGACGAAACTCGGTGTTCGACTTCGCCTCGATCGTATGTAATGTCATACGACCCGTCAATGTGGCACTTTTTGATCGTGCCAGCAATAAATCTACCTTGCCCTTGAATCTGAGCCACAACGCTGTCGCCAGGCTCGTAATCAAAGCTGCATTCTTCGTCCAATACCGTATTCCTCTTGCTTTCCTCACTATCAGAAAGTTCCCATGTCTTGATAATGCGGGCTCGCGATACCTCAAATATGCAATCTTCGTCAACGTTAGCTTCGTGCGAGCCATTGTCGAATTCAATATCATACAATCTATTTGGCCGGACCCGAGAGATCACACCTAACGCGTAACCTCGTTCGTTATCAAGTATAGCTTGAATTTCCTCTCCGCGCTTAAATCGAGGTTTCTGTTCGCTCTTCTTTCGACTCACTCGATATGAGCGAAGGTGCCGCTCCGACTTGCACTTCCTAGTCCGACGACTTGCCGAAGGAGAAAAAGACGATGAGGATGATTCAGAGGAAGAACTTGAAGAAGAACTCGCTAGGTAGCGCTTTTTCGATCTACGGCTCTTTTGTGACTTCAAATGCTTCTTATTGCTAGCATTGAGCGTCCGCCCGCACATTTCACATTCATCCAAATCGTAGTTGTTATCAAATTTGCAATGGAAGCACTTAACAAATCCTTCACCACGTAGCCCGGGTCGCGGTTTGGAAGTTTCACAAATTTCACAGTGTGTAGCCCAGTCCGCAATCTGCTGATGCGTACACACTCGACAGACCCAACCGAGCCTTGGTAAAGGAGTTGCAAATTCTGGGCTGGAAGAGGCGTGATCCACGACTCTAAAGGTTTGGGTCGCTAAAGGTAAAGCAGGATGCATCTCATAGCCTCGAGCAGGCCTACCATGCGTAAGAAAGTTGGATTGTCCAGCAGTACAGCCGCTAAAATGATGCGGCGACATGTTCGTTGGGCGGGGGTGAGGCAAATGCACAGCAGCTTTGCTTGCAACATGAACGTTAGCCATTTCAAAAAAACGCACGTAGGATATAGATGTCGGGTCTGACGATTTTGCAAGCGTAATCATCATAAAATGGAGCGTTGTTTGTGGTATGAGGATGCTGTAATCCTGTAATAGCGTCACAAATGTCGATCGAGAAACAAAACCAGTGCGGTAAGAGTCATACTGAGAAAACACGTCGCCAAGCTCGATGCTGTTATTCTCCAGGACACTTCGTCGAGCAGCTACAATCGACCGTATGTTGTCTCTGCCGACAACGACAAATCAAATTGCTATGATTGCTTTTAAAAAGGTCAAACACACTTACAGCTCAGATGCGTCGAGATAAAGAAATTGGCCAAAAGCGACGTAGTCCACCAATTCGGACCCCGGAATTCTGAAAAGTTGGCTGACACTTTGTAGTAAGTCATCCCTAAGAATGACCCCCACTCTCCCCAGTGCTTCCTGGATTGTTCTGATAGATATACCACCTGCAGAATATAAGTCGCACGACTGGAAATATGGCACTAAGTCAAGGTATGCCTGTGCTCGGACCATGGCCTCACGAATTTGGTCCTTCAGCTCTTGTGGTGTCAGAACGGGAAAAGCAGGGATCTCATAATTGCTTTGGAAGTGAAAGTTATTTCTCTCTTCCGGGCAGTGCATCAGTGTTCCTACAGAGGGCGACAAGCAGCACCTTTCGTGTATTGGATTCATCTGCGCAACTGGGCTAACTGAGATCATCGGTGCTCCATCCTGGCGGTGGATCGGCGACATGAGAAATTCACCGTCACTGTAGGCTCCGTGTCCGCGCATATAGAAGCTACTGGATGTCACGGGATGTTGCTGATGGGAAACGGGGGAGCTCATAGATGGGCGGTATTGTTGTTGATTGTATTGGTAAGAAGAGTGCGGTGAGTCAATCCGATTTGCGCGTCTATATGCATCATTTGAATTAGTTGTCGCCTCTAGCGAATGGGTAATACCTCGCCAGTATTCGGGATCTAAAGGCGTAGGACGTCCGCTGCTCGAGGCGACATCTGAGTCGGAACTATCCGAACGCGCCAGGTACGCGAGCGTCTCCATCTCCATTAGCAATAATTTCCTTCCCTCTTCAATTCGACGGTCTGGAGAGTATGTTAGAGTCGCGTGACCGGTAAGCAAAGCCATGTTTAAATTTAGCTGCCTTCACTTCTTGGTTTCCATCCGCTAGAACGACTCGTGATTGCAAGCCCTATTCATGCCACGCTCTCAACCACTACACATTTCGGCCGATACGATACTCCACCACATTGGTTCACAATTATTTTTTCTTTTTATTGTACTTCGCAAAAGTGACGTCCCCACTGGACCTGAAACCTATCTCTTCCTATGCATTTTATATTACCTGCTCCTCAAAGCGGACTTGAACCGGAAATTTTCTAATGTGCACCAAATAAAATGGCTCGATGAGCACCAGAAAAGACGCGGACTTCGCGACAAACACGCATTTTTTTGGTGGGGCTGAGGTGTTATCCGATAAGAATGGTCGTAGTGTTGCTTCCAGTCCTGACTAAACACATCCACCCTCACCCGGCGAGACACGGGCTTGCGCTCCCCACGAAAGAAATGCTCACTGCGCTCAGCCTCCTGTATCGCGGTCTCGAGATCCGTGTTCTTTTCAACCGTTGGAAAATGGTTCGACACCCCGCCGAGGATTTCACGACTCCGTCCAGATTGCTATAGAGAGTTGAAGCTGGCTTAAGGAGTCCAATTTGCTTTACCGCGAGCGCAAGGGTCAAGTCGACTTTGACTAGTTCATCGCGTCGTGTACAGTTTCAGACCGTCTAAGTCGCTCGCTGCGCAGGTGTGAGCCCTAGAACTTCTATGTGTGCGAGCCTTCCCGCTCCCACCAAGAGCGAAACGAGCGCAAAAAAGTCAGTTCGCAAGCTCTTTCTCAAAGCACCTGTCATCCCTTTTCAGGGGTTCCGCCTTAGAGCAGCAATGGTTGGGTAATCCATACCCTCGTGGAGGATGTAGACCGTCTGGTACAGGATCATTTCTATGCTCCATGACGGATGTACCATGGGTAATTAAAGCTGGCGAGAGCGTGTACCACCGATGATCAAACTCATTTCTCGCACTGGGTGTCGTTGCACACTTTCTAGATTTTGAAAGCCAATTTCAGCGACGCAGATATTTATATAGCGTCGACTCATGCCTGACTATGCGAAGTACAAAGCACAAAGCTGAGGTCGAAGTGCCAAGCTATCCTCGACGTTGCTGTTCAAAGCCCGCTCGTTTCACCAGACAGCGATTATCGCTACCGATCAAGGGTCTTACTTATCATAAGGAAGGTCCTACGCACAGGCAGTAAGCGCACGATAAGGGCGGCTCTGTTTCTATTTTAATGAAGAAAAGACCAAAGGCGCGCAAGGACTTCAGCTGCCACGGCGCCAATGCAATCTTGCCACAGTTGGTCCTCAAAATCCTGTGAGTTTTCCGGTCATGAGAATCCCTTCCACTTCACCAGATACTTTAAAAAGACTGGGTGTACCCGCCGGCCCAACAAACGTTCCATGGGAAAGTAAAGCACCCCTTGTTCATCAAGCAGTGCTGCCACGCTAAGCCCCTCCCTACCGCAGGCCCTCGCGAGCTCTCTCGGATGTGGCGGCACTTTGATGGTCGCCAAAAGTATCGATGTGCGTCTGAAACAGCGATGAGCCGGATCTCAGATTCTGAACTTTGCCATCACCGGCTAGCTTGAGACAATCCAGCAGTTCAGAGCCACGTCACTGCTATGAAGCAGCGGGTGGCCTAGGAACAGGTGATGGTGGAGCCGCTGCTACGTCGACAACAGGGATCTTACAGTGCTTGTTAGAGGTATGGCTTCAGTACGCCTACAGAGTATACTGAATGTGCTCGCATTCACTTCGCGATATTTAAGTAGGAATCAGTCTCTTTTTTGCTCTAATCGTGATCGGCTCGATGTAGCGCGGTTGCAGCTTCGTACCTACAGACCGCAGAATATGCACATGTAAGTAATTTAATTGCATTCACTTACCCCTCTAAATATCCGTGTGTGTTCTGCCTAAAATTGCGCACTTGGCATTAAGATAAAATTAAACATGTATTTGGGCATATTATTAGCAAGACGCTTGCGCGCAATTCCTGCTCATATATCGTGATCTGTTCGCAGATACTCAGCTATCAAAGTGTCCAATCTGATATTTAAAATAATCTATGCCAAGACTTTGCTGTGAAGTATGGATCGCGATCCGATACAATGGCTACCGACAAGCCGCGTTGGCAAACGATTTTTTTACAAAAGGATATGGCAGTATACTCACCGATCACAGTATGGCGGGAAGCAGCGAAAAAATCGTTTTTGTTTAGATTGCTTACAAAGAGCATTACCGGACACATCTTTTGATAGGCCTACAATAAAGTCTAAACTTAAGGACAGCCAGACTTCTCCCAAAACCGACAGGCTTGCGAAAGGCGCCGCCGCATGCGGCGTGGGTATATCACATTGGTGCATACATATATGGCTACCCATTTGTACATGTTGGACCACCAACATGTACAGCAAGAATTTTTAAAGGTGGCCACTTCGTACCAGTGTTGATGTTGATACTTTATCACGGTACTTTTTTGGTATATCTGAGCTTGGGTCTTAGTCCGAGAAATAGTAGTGTCGATGGTAAATTGTGTATGTATTCCATAAAATGGTATAAACTTTGTTATACCTTCCGATGGGATATTCTTTTGCCTGTCCAATTATAACGAAGGTACACGTACCTTGGTATAAAAAGGGTGGATCACACAAGCATAAAAAGATGTCGATGACACATGACGGTGTAACCACACCATTGTGTGGTTACACCGTAACAAGAAGCAACTACGTGGTGGGACTGCCAGTAGTTATGCATATTGATCAGGTTTTGCTATTTAGTTGTAAAACCTACAGATCTGGATATAGGCGGCTTAAAAAAAATAAAACAGATAAATACAGTTTGCACTTTGAACGGAAGAGTACATTTGGCTTGGGTTAAGGTTGTGGGTACTCTTGAAGGCAGCAGATTGCGCTCGTACCAATTCTAGTTTAGAACGTAAGATCGGTGACCTAAGCTTAGCTTTCTCTAAGCAAAGAGCTACGGCAGCCTCGCTGCACATGGTAGCAGTTGTAGTCAATCTACACTTAAGTCGTTACGACTGATCCTCTGTGGGGATGGAACAATTTTCCTATTTCCCCCAGGGCATACAAGACGAGCTTAAAGAGTACCTGCTTGGCCCTGAGGGCGTGCAACATCTTGCTTGCGAGGACAGGAAGCAATAAGCGTGCGCCAAGAGGCGTTTTCGGGTTATGAAGCTCTGCTAGAGCACCTATAGCAGAAGCTGTCGGCGTCGACTGCGTCCATGACGCCACCGTCGACAACGGATGACTCCTCCCGAGCCAGGCCACTCATGGTGAGCGTTAAGACCTTCCAGGGTAAGGATGGAGAGAATCTTCCGCACTCGGTGAGATATGCTGAGATGGCTATGGCATCCGCCATGCTCCAGAACGAGCAACAGCGCGCGGTGCTAGCTATCTTCTAGCTCAATGGTCGAGCGCGAGAATGGGCACTGAAGTGCGGCACTTCGGTTGAAGCTCTGGACGGGGCTGAAGCTGAAGATTTACGAGTGCTTCCGTCGCCTGACCAAGCATTCCGCGTGCAATCGCATTTTCTAGCCACCAGACAGGGCAAAAAGGAATTGGTGAGTTTTGTCCAAGATTTGCGTACTCTCATTGCAGGGATGTCTCCCCGAAGCGGCCACAGTGACCGTCTTTATGGAGGGCCTTCGCACTGGCATGGCCAAAATGGAAGTTTTCCGCGTGCATCCTTTGAAGAAACGGTAAATGTGGCATTGAATGCCGAAATCAGCTTTTAGTCGGCACGACTTGGTTGGAATGCACACCCTGATAGCTCGTCGAGCGGGCCTGAGCCAATGCGTTTGAGAAAGAGGGGGTCGAGCTCCGAGCTGCCGAACACTAGACAGTGTTTTGTCTGTGGAGATTCCCGTCACCTTTGGACTTATTGTCCCCTGCGCAAGACGTCATCAAACCGACCTCCTGTTTCTCATCAGTCTGGCTTGTCGCATGGAAGCGACAAAACACAATAGGCGCGGGGCGCCCTATTGGAACTGAGTTCTGTTGAGCCTCAAAGAGGTAATGGCCAGAAGGGGCCAGCCCCGAAGAGCTCCATGCTATCAAAAACGGAACGTGTATGCAAGCCGGGCTTGCTGATCGTGAAAGTGAACGTAAAGGGCTATGAGAAGCCATGGAAGGTCCTCGTCGATTTCGGTGCGCCGGACAATGATGCTCGACGCCCCCCTGATAGAAAAAAAGCTAGCTGTATGCTGAGGCTCTGAAAGCGCGGTCGAGTGACACCATCACTAATCGCTTAGTGATGGGGACATGTGCCACGTGCGTGCCGAGAGCCTCGGTGTCAAGTTTCTTGACTTGAAAAGGTCGGCCAAGGGCCGAGGCATCGAGGGCGAGGCCCCAGTAATGCACGTGAAGTCGCACGTAATCCACTGAGCACTGCCACGTTTCGATGCAGTTACTGCATGCCAAGAGTGGCATGGTCGGACGGGGTCTGAGGCATCTTGGGCAAGGCCCGTCAGATGCGCGTGGAGTGGCACGTTAACCACTAGACGAACACTAGCTCGTCGTCGGATGTTGTCGATAGCAGTAAGGCTCCGGTGTAGCAGAGAATCGAGACAATGGACGACGCTGAGCGTGTATCCACTGGTCTCGTCGAGACACAGAACTTCTGTGAAGAGGCAGCGGCGACGCCGTATTTTATCTGCAAGATGCAGTTCGTCGACCCTGACCCAGGGTGTTTCTACCGTAGACGACATCGTACATTTATACTCCCTTGCCAACGGTATGACGGGGAAGGAAGGCGGCGACATCACCCTTGACGCTATTCGCGCGGTGAATGCTCTTCTTAAGCTGGACGAAATGTCCTTCGAAGACTTCGACAGTGCCTTGAATGCAGGCGACTTAGCCGAAGTGGTCATTATACGACCGGACGAGGAGATCAACTCGTCGTCGCTTTTGTATGAAGCTGTCCTGGAGGACACCAAGATGGCGCTGAACGCACGAAGTGGAGCTTCGATTCTAAAGAATCCCTGTTAAAGTAATG